CAGCTGAAAACTAAATTATGTCTAACCTTTGAGCTTCAGTGGTAGGATGGAAACTCTTGGAGGATACAATTACTCACTTCAGGACGTTTTGCATCATTCACAGGGTGAAGCTGCTCTGAGGGATATTTGGCCTCAGTGAATCCTCATAAGCATTGTCTTTGGATCCAAGAGAGAACTGAAGCAGCGTGGTACTTTTTGAGGACCAAACCCCGAATTTAAATATTAAATCTTTATTAGATAATGAATACTAAAGGCCATTAAGCACATATCAAGGACAAAAATGCTTGCTTTAGTCAAAAGTAAGAAATGTGTTTAGCAACTGATTTTCACTCGTCTTTTTGCAGTTTACGGTTGTGTTTCTTATACTTGTTAAAACTTGATTATAAATTGTCATAAGGAGAAAACCACAAAGGATTAACACACTTAAATGTTCATAATTGAGATCACTGGGTAGTGCTGCTGGATGACCATGCCCACGGGGTGTTTCACCCAGAGATGACTGGTTTGGGGACCGGATTAAATTAGTCTTAAAACAATAAAAGCACATGTGTACTCAGGAAAAAAATCTGCACTTGCTTCTTGCAAATAATTTATTTAATGCTGTTTCTACTGTTATAGCATGCTTACTTCATCTTTTAAAGAAAGAAGTTTGCTACTTTCTTAACATCAATGTTGTCATGAGAATTGAGGTCTATATAGTGAGACATGTATGTACCTCCCTATCACCTCAGGCCAATGAACCCGTGAAAGATTAACTCCTGAAAGGTCAGGCAGTCCTAATTAAAACCTCTAGAACAATGTAGTCCTAATGCAACTCTGGCACGTTTACCAATGGACAAATCAGAAATTACTTTCTCATGGTTTCTGACTCCTTTAATGCTGGTTATGCTCATTTCTCATACTTTCAGGTGCATAATATACCCAATATGGTATGCAGTTTGTTCCAGGTTTGTGCATCAGCATTGCATTTCCATTCATATGTCCATGGCTTCATTATTTTTGATTAATTTCTGAGCTTGTCTTTCCAAACATCAATTTTTGGAGGTTTTAGAGTAATAAATTGTCAGGGCCGCTCCTTGTTCAGTGAGCACCTGGGTCTCTGTAGCTTTTTTCAATCTTTAGATGTAAGATGCTATTTAGATTAAAAAAAATTAGGTTTCCCAGGAAATAAAGGGCATTTCTACCCCTGCAGGTGCCAGAAGGACGGAGTTCTCTCCCCACCTTGCTTCTCCACACAGCAGTGTAACCATGGTGTAGTGTTCTGCTAAAATAGCTGCCAGACAGGATCAGCTTGTACCTGATTAGCATGGAGCATCAGAGGCCCAGGGAGGCCTCTGCACCCATCCACACAGACAGGGACACAATAAGTAGTTAATCTATTAACAAAGAGGAGCTGGCAAGCCCTGCAGTGCCAGAGCACTGAAACCACCCAAACTGGGAACCAAGCTAGATTTTACATCCATCATTTTGATCACAGTATCTCCCATGTATCTTGCTTGGGAATGGGCCCCTGATGTGAAAAACAATCGTGCTGCTGTGTGTAAAAACAAAGGCAAAGAAATGGGTCCTGTTTCAGAACACCACCACACATTTGGGTTTCCATGCACTTCGTCAGAGGAGAATTTGAAGTTTTTGTGTCCAAGACTACTAGATTAGGATAAATTTAGTTGGAATAGTAATGTGAACTGGGTTTGGGCAATATTGGACATGCCCCTCGAGCATGCCTGCCCTCTAATGCTAGTGTGTGATGACATCCTCATGCGTGAATCCTGAACATACCAACTTCTACATACACGTGTTACTATCAGGGACACAGTAAGAGTAAAATCCTGGCCATGTGGGGCAATTTCATATAATATATGCAGAAAGTCAACTGAAAAGTCAACAACTGACATGTTCCCAAGCCTTGGGGCATTTATGCACGAGCAGCTGGTGCACAATCATTGTAATGAAAACAATTTCTTATCATTAAATATACAATGCACACATTTGCTTTCCTTGTTTTGCTTAAATGAAGACCGTATTTCTAGGTAAAAATGTCTTGCACTACCTCTTCCTTCTCTGCATTTCTTCTTTTTTCAATTAGCAAGCTACTACTGTATGTTTGGATAATCACTGCCTTTTGATGACAAAATGTTTTAGTCTTCCTTACCTTTTCTCTTTTATTCCCTATAATGTTATCAGAGGCTGAGGTTTGTTAAGGTTTTCACATGCGATATTTATATAAATCAAACATCTTCTGTTGCATGAAGACTGTGGATTTTTAAATGTATTTGTGATTCACAGGGTCTCCATAAAAAGAAACTCAGCAGTGATTCCTCCCGCTTTATTCTTTCATTTTCTCAAATTTTCTATTTCCTGTTAATTTTGTTGTCTTGTCCTTGCACTTTCCTTCCACTTTCCTGTATTTTGTCAAAACAGGCTGTGCAACAGAAAAATCTGGTCACATGCATGCCCAAGAGATTAATTGACCTTTGTGCCTTTAAACCTCCTGAGCAGTTCAAGTCAGAACAGCAAAGAACGAATCTGCAGCAGAATTATCTTTCTGGAAATAAATAACAGGCTCTTCAAAGCCTTATTTCTGATCTAATCTTTATCTTTTCAAGTTCATTTCAAGCCTGGAGTAAAAGTCAAAACTGGCTATCTACGTGTTGGGTTTTTTTTTAAGGTTGTGTTTAAGTGTCTCGGTTACAGGCCGAAGTCTGCTCCAGTGGAAGGCTTTGACTTAACCAGTAGCAGGGTTGTTCCTGCACAGCAGAAAGCACTCTGATGAAATGTCTGAGCAAATCTCTGAGCAAACAAAGAAATGCATTCCTGGGCACCTGCAACAAGAGGTGCCCCACTCCTTTGGGAAGTGCAGCTCCTTCCCCCTTTATGCACCTTTTGGCACAAAAGCTGGAGCAAAACGAGTGTAACTGGCCTTGCACTTTCCCTGGATTCCTATTATTTAGGGCTGCAAATAAAACTAGGGAAATTCTGTCTTCCCACAAGTAAAAACGGTTTCAAGAGGCCAAGACAATCAGCAGTCAGGGGGACCTTCATGCAAACGCTTCACGTGGGATTTATGGGGCCAGGGGTGTCTTTTGTCGCTTCCCTCCGCGTGGCGCGGCCCATCGCATTCATCACTTCAGCGCTTGGCTGCGAACGGGGCGAGGGGGATGTGGGCTGTCCGACCTTCCCGAGGGGACCCGGACCGAGAAGGAGCGGCCGATGAGTTCCCCGTCTGGGGAGGCGGGTGGGGCCGGGGCCGCAGCAGCGCCGGGACAGCCCGCGCGGGATCCGAGCGCCGCCGGGGGCAGCGCGCGCTGGGGGCGGCTGCTCTGCCCCGCGAGCCCTCACGGGCCGACCTTCACCTCCGGCCTGGCAGCGGCCACCCGCCGCTTGCTCGGCCCCGACCCGGCGCGTCCCGGTGCGGAAGCGGAAGGGCCGGGTTGGGCTGAGCTTGAGGCTGGGTCGGGCCGAGCTGAGCTGAGAGCGCTGCGGGCGGGCGGTGAGTGCGAGGGGTGAGTGGCGGGGGCTGCGGGGCGCCTTATCGCCCGTCCCGATAAGGGGCAGGTTGGGCGCGCTTGGCGCCTCCGGGGGCAGCCGAAATACGGAGGGTCGCCCCTCGTCTGTGCTGCATTCGGCTGTTCGGTAGCGGCGATTTAAGTATTGCCAATGTGTTCCTATTTGCATAGCTATACGTATTAATATTATGCATATCTATGTGTGTTTTACTGCCGGAAGACCCCTTGCTTCTGGTTAAAAATGAGTTGTATCCTGGGTTGATGCGCAGGTGTGGTTCGTGCTACTCTGGTTATTGATGCATCCTCCCAGCCTTTGAATTACTGTGAGATTTAATTCTTTTATGTGAATGTGGCAAATAGGTCGGTATTGTTAAGCTAAAAACCACATCTGTCTTGTCCAGAATTAGTTTGCTTTTGTGTTTGGTTTTGTCTCTGCCCTCCTAAGAAGAGGCGTCCAGCATTTTAGTGAACCAAATGATGATGGCTAGCAGATACAGTGGTTCTCCTAACTCTCCTATTTTAGAGAAGAATCTGAGTCAAAAATGGTAATTAATGTATTTTCTTCCAGTGTCTCTCATTTTGACGTGTTTCATTCTTCCAGAGGTTTTATTTCTGATCTCTCAGTGGTGTTAATATACAACAACGTTACATGAAGCAGAATGGATCTTAGAAAATGTGCTGATGCTAGTTATTGATTAAATGTGTACCTTGTCTTCTGAGCTGAACTCTTACCTTTAAGATGATTGCATAATGGTTGTGTAAAGCTTACGGTTGGTGTCTTATTTGTATTATAGGCCAAAGTGAACCAAAAAGCCTGAAGTTTTTAGTTGTGTTACGTGATGTAAGGAGATGCCTTTATTTAGGCAACTAATTTCAGGTAAAAAGCACCCACTTGCATGTAGCTGGCTACAAAATGGCTGTGCAAGCTCAGAATAGAAGAGAATACTGTTGGCATTTTCATTCTGCCTTCTCTGACCCCCTCCTCCAAAAAGTAGATGTACACCTGCAATTTGGTTCACCAGTGATTGCGTTCAGCACCATTATCTGGACTTAACTCAGTGCAAATCCAGAGCATCAGTTTTATGTGATTGTCGTTTTGCACCAGGACCTGTTGGCCCATTACAATCAATCCTGGTAAGGAGGGCACTGGGAGTCTGAAGTATCACTTCAAACACTGGTTTTGAGAGCTAACCCTATAAAGAGGAAAGTGTTGATAATCTTGCATCCCTTCAGGTGCTGGGAGCCCCAGGTTGTGCAGACCTCCTCTGATTTGTGGGCAGCATGTTGTGCTGACCCTGTCCATAAGAGAGGTTACCCTGTTTTGGTCACTCAAACTCCTAGGAATTCTTTTACAAGAAAACAGCTCTATTCATCACCTCTACTGTCAAACACAAAGGGTGCTTGCATGAGAACTTCCTGCTCTTTTAGATAACAGCAAGGAGGCATAATCGCAGGTACAAAGTTTGAGCTGCCTGCACGTTGCCCTGTTACAGGTGGCTGCTAAGCTTATCCTGCAGTCCTGGGTTGTGCATCCCACAGAACAGGCCTGGAGGCCACCCTGTGCATGACGTGCAGCACAGGGGAAGCCTGGACCTACTCTGGTTTAATTGTTCTGTGGATCACCAGCTCCTTGGTGTGCCGTGGCCTTCAGGTCAGGATCACTCAAGCTGTGCCGTTATGTCCTTCTGAAAAACAAGTGTGCTGTTTGGTGTCTGCTGTAAATCTACAAAAAAAGTGGGTTGATAAGCTAAGAAAAAAATTGAAAATATAAACTCTCTGCGTGAACACATCTGTGGGCTGGTACCTAATTATCTAAGGAAAATGATAACACAGAGAAGGCAGATCTTTTTTGGGAAGGTATGCTGTGTGAATGCTATGCTTTGAAAGCATCCATTCCTCTTATATAGACAGATATTCAACCAACATTGCATGTTTCCACTCTTGATTCTGTTTGTTGTTTTTTTAAACATATAACAGTAATAAGTTTAGATGCAGCAGAACTTGGGAAGTAACTTCCTCAGCTTCTGCTGAAATCAGCTAGCCAGCTTTGGAGCTCATCCTGAATGCAGTCTTTTAACTGTTGGAGCAGAAACATAGATTGTGAGGATGTTGGGACACACTGTAAGCCCTTCCTTTTTGATTAAAAAAAACTTTGCTGTTGGGAGCAGAAGAGGTAAATTTTTGCAACTTACTGAATTGCTCCAAAACCATTTGTTCTTTTTATTCTCCAGGCAAAAATGTCTGCAGCGTGTGACTTCGTTACACTCCACAATGGGCAGAAGATGCCTCTCGTGGGACTGGGAACTTGGAAAAGTGACCGTGGCCAAGTAAGCAGAGAATAATACAATATTGTGCTCACAACAGTCTTTGTGGTGTGTACACCTTTTTTTTTTTGGAGACCCCAGATCTGAGGCTCGGATCCTTTGCTCGAGTTGTTCTGGCTTTGAGTCCACTGAAGCCAGTGGAATGTATGTGTGTATTTGCACAACTAAGGCATTAAAGCAGCAGTAGGAGATCCCTTCAAACTTGTTAACCCTGACCCCAGGCAGTTGTGCTTTGGGACATGAATCCAGAAAGAGACCAGTGAGTAAGGTGGGACAGGGAAAATGCTGTAGCAGTAGTGTGATGCTGGGCTTTTCCACTGATAAGTCCTCAGGCTGCCAGCTTGACCAGATGCCCCTCTGGCTTAGGCTGGTGACTCAGCAGAAAGCATTATTTTGGGAGGCAAGAAATGTAGTTGTTCTTGCAATGAGTCCTGTTCCAACAGTCAGCCAATGGTTAGCAGAAAAACAAAGAACTTGCTTGGGTCAGCCAGCTTTTAGACTAAGAGACTCATGTATCATTAGACATTCACTCTGCCTCTGAATGCAATGAATTGGCAAACACCACACTTGGAAACAATTCCCCGTGTTACTACAAACAGTCTGTGGGAATGTTTGCCTGCTGTGGACTGTGCCTGCTATTGGAATGCTTCTCCCCCTCATCTGTCTTTTCCTTTCTCTTTCATTTGGTTAAAAGATAAATTCTTAGGGGAAGAAATTGTACATGCTTCCTGTGGAAGGCCACGTCCACTGCTTGGTGGAATTCTTAGCTGGTGTTCAAAGAATTGTAGAATCACAGGATAGTTTGGGTTGGTAGAGACCTTAAAGATCTGGTTTCAACTCCGTGCCGTGGGCAGGGACACCTTCCACTAGACCAGGTTGCTCCAAGTCCCATCCAACCTGGCCTTGGAACACTTCCAGGGATGGGGCATCCACAGCTTCTCTGGGTCATGCATTTGCACTGTTGCATGTCTGTGCAGTAGTTGTGTGTCTTGCTGCTACTCCTACGTGAGCTTTGTGACTGAGAGGGAAAGTTAAAACCCTTCTCAAGATGTGCTATTCTCTTGTGCCAACTAGAGGAGAAGGTGGGAAACAAGCTATGAAAATTAAATCTATTCAGAGCCATTTATTGTGGGTTTTCCTGTCCAAACAGCTGTCAGGACAGTGGATCTGTTAGGAATGGAAGCTGTGCTAATGTGGCCACTGAGTTGGGTTGAGAGCTCAGTCAACCTCTTAAACGAGGACGAGGGTGAATGTTCAGCTCTGCCACTTAAAACATCAACTGACAGCTTAATTAAGTTTATTAATATGCACAAACTTAATGGATGAATTTCTGTGCACTCAGAGCAGTTAAATGTGCTTTGTCCAAAACAAATGTCTGAGACTAACCAAACAAAATATGAATACATTGTTTATTTTGTGCATGAACTGTTCTGGGGAGAGTGCAGCCTTATAAAGGAACTGGAACAGATCCTGTTTGTGCATAATTTAAACCTAATTCAGGATTTTGCCATAATAAGCAGTGCTGCTAGCAGCTGGACCCCACACACGATCCAGCCATCTTCTCTGGGGTTCCTCAGAAATCACACTGGGAGTCACTTATTTGCAATATCTGCTGTCTTCAAAGACTACTTGCAGAATGTATTGCAGGCAAAATCTAGGAATGACCAGAGTTACAGAAGTTGCTGCTATTCCTATGGAATAAATAAATTTCTGATTGTCACTTTTGAAAATTCAGAGGCATAGCGGCAGTTTGGCTGATCATCCAAATGATTTACCCTTAAAAGGACATGATATAGTTCAGGCATAATAATTGCTGTTATGAATTAAAGACTGAGGGCCAAAACCCAGAGAAGCAGAAGAATTATCATTGATTGTATTTAATCTAGCTGTTTCCCAAGTAGAGGCTATGTGTCAAAAGCTCCTTTGTGCAAGGGCTGCATTAGAAGCAAGCATGGAAATGGATGGCTTTTAAATTATTTCAGGCAAATGTTTTGCACATTGTAGTTATTTTCCTTGCCAAGCTTGAGTGATTTCTTTGTTATTGCTGTTCCTGATTGTAAGCAAGCCCTGACCTGTAGCCAGATCTTAGCAGTCCAGTACAAAGGTGTCATTGCAGCCCTAGTTTCCTAGATATTAAGAATGGGGGACAAATTATTGAATCTAAATCCATGTTGGAAGACTATAGGATTTTATAGGATTTAGACCCTATAAAATAATAGGGTGTTTTGTGTTTTACATAATCAAATGCTAGAAGAGAAATTTGTTTTACATGTTTCCATAGGAACATGACAGAGGCCTGTTGAATGGAAGAGAGCACAGTACAAAAGTTTTATGAACTGACAGCGTGAATGAGTTCAAAGAGAAATCCATTCAAACAAGAGCATCGAGAATATCAGTAGCATGGCTTTTTGATATTGCAGCTGGATTATCTGTAACCCTTTAATGCTTTGTTCTCTCAAGAGAGCCATGCTTTCAAGCTGCAGGATTGATCCCCACCTGATGAGCAGTCTAACCTGCAGTGGCAGAGGCTGGCTCTGTGGAGGGGGAGAGAGACATGGGGCTTAGGGAAGTTGTATTTCTGTGTGAAACTTCAGGAGAACTGAAGAGGAAACACATGCCTCAGAAAACCAGTTAGACTAAGTGTCTTGTGACAGGATTGCAGCTACTGAGGAGACTGTTCAGTTCTTGAAGTTCATTAGGCAATATGGAGAATCCTGGTTACAGGCACCAAAAATTCACTGCTGCTGGTATGTGTTAAGGGAGGGGCTTAAAATCAACATTTGAAGGATAAGAGGCAGCCCCCTTTTTCTTTTAGGCAACACCACCTCTTAGGTTGGCTTTGCTTATCTGGTTCATTTTCAACAAATTTTAGTGCAATATGTAGAAACTGTAATACAGGAACACTTATGTTCTGGTCATACTCCATCTGAATATCACATGGACTGCAATATTGTGTCTGTTTTGGAGCAAACCATTTGAAGAAAGGCATGAATCAGCAGGCTAAACTAAAGAATGTGTGGAAAGATTGAAGGATCCTTTGGCTACTGTTACTGCACACCACCAAATAGCCAGAGGCACATGAATCTCCACCTCCTCTGTTCCCCACCACAAAATGTGTGTATCTGTCTGCACATAATCTCAAAAATACAAAAATTCCTTTAAAAAAAGTACTTTTCTTAGACTTACATCTATATGTTATTTTTTTCCCCTCCAAAAATGCCTTTTTTTTTTTTTGCATGTTTTCTCTTGATTGCTTGCCTTTTATGTGGAACAGGAACTTTCAGTTCACATGGGAACATCTTAGTAGGCTGAGAGTAGTTTACAAAAATACAGATTTTTTTTTTCCCAGATCCAAACCTTATTTAAATGACCAGTCCCAGTTTTTCAGTGCTAGAAATTTGTCAAAACATGCTGATAAAAAAATACAACCTCCTGTTGGGAACACTTTGCAGAGACATGTTTCTAGTGCCTTATCTCTGGTCTTCTGTGAGCGGTACCTACTTGTATTTTATGGCAAATTTTGTGCCTTTTTGGATTTTAAAAAAGTATTAATCTGACACAGGAAATAAGGGATTAGTGCAGACATAGAACATTGCTAGTTTCCCTGTCCTGTCCCTCTCCACAATTCTCATCTCTTTGGGGAATAGATATTGAGTCTTAAAAGCCTTTACTGTGTCTCAAGTGATTTTAGAGTTACCCTGCCCTTGACTTTGTAGTGACCTTCTGAGGAATGCCTTTGTCAGGCAAAAGGAGCACTGTATCTCCCATCCTGCTAGAGAAGGGAATAGTTCACTTCACTGCTATGATAGAAGTGCTTTGTCATTCTGGCTAAGGGAAACTGAGCTACATTCCAGTTCTGCTCTCAAAATGCCAAAGAATGCAGTCAGAATATCCTGTATCTGCCTTTACTGCTGTTCTTGAAAAGAAAAACAAATGAAATCCAGCAGTAGGAGAGAGATGTTTTCACATTTGATTCCCCTTTGCCTTTCTGTAGCATCCAAAAGCAGGACTGTACATGCCTTTACTTGGTATTACTAATTTTGTCAGGTTTAAAATTGAAAATCCTGGTACTTTGGTTAAGTTGAAAGAAACCAATCTCCCTCTAGCCTTTGTGGACACATTTTTAGTCTCTTGTCAAGAGAGGTGATCTCTATAAACGCATTAGGGTCCTATTGCATCAAGCATTGTACCCAGAGTAATTTACAGTCTCCCCCAGTTTTGAGAGACAGGTCAGTGAGTAGCAATGTATAGAAATCCCAGTGCAGGTAGGATGTACTCTTTCTGTAGTGCTTCAGGTGGATAGATGTCATAGAGAACATGTGCTTGCTATCCACTGGAACTTAAATGAAACAGATTTTACTAAATGCCCATCAGCCTAACAGGAGATGATGACTACACTGGCACCTGTAGTAATCTTCGTTCTTGCACAATCAGTTATTAAAAAATCTTTATTCAAAAGCTCCTTATGATTCCTCACAAAGATGCCATTGTGTGGTTCCTGGACTCACCTCATATCTGAGGCCCACATGTGAAGATGTTTTGTGCTTCTGCTTCATTAGAGCTTTCGAAAGCAGATACAAATTTGAAATATAGCGCCTTGGTTCCCAACTGTTCTGGCTTTTGTGTAACAATACGCAGCAAAGGGCGTGTTGCTGTTGGCAACACCTTCAATGTGAGCAAAATGCGAAGTCGTGAGCACCATCAGGAGTATCCCAGCAATATAACTTTCATTGTTGTGTAATCAGTAAGAATGAGACACAAAATAAAAATGTGCCATAAAATAGCATTATCTTAGCACTTAAGTGTGAGTAGTTGAACCAAACCCAAACTCTGGTGATTCTGGAGTTAGAAACCAGGCTCTTCCTTTGCTGGGCGAGAGGAGATATATTTCAGGTTTAACTGACATGGATTCGTCAGTCAGGTGAGAAAGTTTGTCTTCTGAAGCCTTGATTTATTTGAAAACTGCTTCTTAAAGCTCATTTTATATCTAAGAAAAGTGTGACAGCTATAGCAAAAAGTAGGGATTTGTTCTATCCTGGTGCATTCCTGTATGAATGGTCCTGTGTGCACAGCCCATTTTCTTGTTACTCCTGGAGTGTCTGCCAGCAATCACCTCTCCCCCCCAGGGCTGTGCCACAGAGGGCCCTGTATCCTGCGCTTTGAGTCTCACAACCTTATGCAGGTCTGTGGGGGTTTTTTTGGGAGCGTTGCTCACTGAGTCTATAACATTTTTTTAGCTTTTGTCCCGGTGCTGTGTCCCTTCTCAGTGCTGGCACTGGACAATCTGTTTCTGATTGCAGGTGAAGGACGCCGTGAAATGTGCCCTGAGCGTGGGCTATCGCCACATCGACTGCGCCGCGGCCTACAGCAACGAGGCCGAGATCGGGGAGGCCTTCCAGGAGTGTGTTGGGCCCAACAAGGTAGAAACACGGGGATCCCCGTGCTGACTGTGTGTGCTGTATCAAAATTTACAGCCGTGACCCAGAAGCAGACTTGTGAAGCTGACATTTGTGGCTGTTCCTCCTGGTCTACCCCAGCTGTTTGTTATTTAGCCAGGAGCAGGCATGAAGGAGGGCTTTCTCTGCTCTTAAAACCCTCCTGGCTGTCATGGGGAGAAGAGATTGTCAGGAATATTTGGATGGAAGCTACAGAAAATGCCTTTTTTTTTTTTCTTTTTTTAAATTTACCTGCCTGCCCCTTTCCCCCTCACGAAGTATCCCAGTTTGGATGTTCAAAGACTGTGGGTTCCCGGAATCAGTAGTTATAACGTAAAATACTTGCCACGATTTATATGGAAAGTTACTCTAATTTTCCAGTCTAGCAGGCAATGGTAGGTAGCCTCAGCAAATTTGGTGAGTGTAGGTTTTGTGGTTATAGGTAAAATATGAGTGAGTAAATACGTGGTGATTTCTTTTTTTTGAACAGTGATTGTGTGTCAGGTTTTAATAACTGTGACTCCAGGCCTGAGAGTCCAAGGCCTAAGTATAATGTAATGTAACAGGCATTCCTATGGATGGTGGAATCTTAAATTTATCCCCTTGCTCTTGTTGGCCCAAGGGGCCAGAAGGATTGCCTGTACAGCCTCAGAGCCCATGGAAAGAAAGTTTTCATGTTCCTGTTTTCCTGCTGCTCTTGCCTTGGCTTTAGGGCAATCTCTTTGTTTTGTGATTTGCTTGAGAGAGGGTGTTTTCAGCTTGCCCCAGGGATTCCTCCCTACTAGATGTGGTAACTCACAAAGGGAAGCATAGATCTTTTGTTCAGTTCACATTAGCCAGCTAACTCAAATCTACAATTTCAATTAAAATTATTTTTAAAAAGAATTTTTAAAAATCTTTCTTCTTGAACACGACCTCCTTGTGTGAAACACAGAAATAATTGAATGGTTGGAGGAGAGAAACTAAGGGATTAATCATTCCAGCTTCTTCAAAATACAGACTTGAGTGAAATTTTGTCAGACATAAGACAGTGAGAAGCATCCTTTGTGATGGAATTCTGTGCCTCAGCTGTGATCTCCCTTTTGCATTTTATACTATCTAGTTAACCAACTCTCTGTTTGTTTTATTTATGGGTCTTACCCTTCCAAGACAGTACAGGGCTTTCAGTTCTTAGTGTGTTCCTTACACAGCCAGGAAACTCAAATGCAAAGGTTTGGGGAAAGTTTTGTTTATTTTCCCATGCTCTTTCCACAAGAAGCATTCTTGGTTTATAGCATGTGATGAGTAAAGTCAGTTGGCTGGTTATGCCTTGAATATGTGAGTTGTTAAATAGAAATTTCAAAATTTACATATGAATAAACGGAATAATCTTTCTTTTGACCACATCACACTTAGTAGTGGCTTTAACCCTTGAATTGGAAAGTTGGGAAGAGCGTGTGTGGAAAGGATTGTTTTGTTTTTCAGAACTTCTAATAAATCACCAAAGTATTTGATATACTTCTGGACCTGCCAGTGTGTGTATTTCTCAGGCTCTTCTCCATCCAGTTTTATTGGATGGAGAACATTCGAAAAGTTTAATTAGTATGTTCCATGTGTTAACCTTTTTTTTTTTAAACAAAAACTTCAATTGTTCTCTTTGTTTTAAAACTAGTTGGGTAATTGTTGCAATTCTCTTTCTGAACTCGTTCCAGTAAATTGTGCTCTCCTTCCTTTCTTGAAGGTTATTAAAAGGGAGGACCTGTTTGTAACATCAAAGCTCTGGAATACCAAGCACCACCCAGAAGATGTAGAGCCAGCACTGAGGAAAACACTTGGAGATATGAAGCTGGATTACCTGGACCTGTACCTTATGCACTGGCCTCATGCCTTTGAGTAAGTACTAAGTGGAAAGGGCACAGAATGCAGAAAGCCCAGTTATATTATGTTATATCCTGAGGACATTTTTTCTGTGAATTTCTTCCTGTGTATACTGCCTGCAAGATGTTTTTTGGTGTGTGGTCCTGTGGACTGTCAAGTAGGCACTCTTTTCTACACATAACTTACTCATATTTTGTCCATTCATTCACAGAAACAATTGTTCAAATTTCATTCTTTGAATTTCAGTTGGGTGGGAATTTGTTTATTGTTAGATTTGTAGCATGTCTGTAAACATACAGTAGAGGAGACAAAACTTATGGTTTTGTGTAGCATTGTAAATAGAAAAAGGATAATTGCTCTCATTATTTAGCAATGATGAGGCTGGAAAATGAGTATTAAGTCTTCATTTAAAATCTTTAGGCAACTACATAAATTTTTTAGTCATGAGAACAATTAGGTAATGAAATTAGGATCACTAAACTGGTAACAGTTTGGCATAGGTGCCAAGATTAGGTAACTGGGAAAAGTAATAAAGCTTTATGGGACGAGTTTCTATACTGAAGCTTACCATCTTACACTACCTGTGAGGTAAAGTCTTTGAGTTTCAAATACATTAGAAGTTAAAATAGTCCAGTGTCTTCATTTAGGCATTGGGGAAGTGTGGTAACCTTAAGGAAATACTGAAACTGCTCTGTGCCTTAGTTGTACCGATCTGTAAAATGAAAATTAAGTGCTTTGTAAAGAAGAAAACACTTTTCACTAGTAGTTATTCAGTGTACTGGAGTGGCCAAGCACATGCAGTATCATAGTGGCATCTGTGTGAGGAGGAAGTGAAATGACTTCTTTTGACACTAATTGCAGTAATTCTATGATTTGAGGAAATAAGAGATGAGAAAGTTTTCCAGTTAAGTGCTAAATGCAATTACCCTACAACCCCATGAGAAGCAGAGTTCCATACTTTATTTCCTTGTAGATGTGGAAACAGTTGTCCCCCCCCACCCAACTACAATCAGCAAAAAAAAGGCAAGGGGAATAAATCTGACCTGATGTTTGCATGGAGTCTTCACTCAACAGGCAACAGGGAAGACCCTGTCAGTTTATGAGGACTCTGTGCATTCTGCAGCTTTGAGAATGTTTTTACTCCTTCTGATTATAGGAACTGAATTTTACAGAGTGAAACACTAATGGTAAGATGAAAGATGCTCAAAGTATAAATATATTCCTCAGCATAATGGAATGAGGAAGTGCTTTTGGTCTGGAGGAAGAGCTGTTAAAAATTCCCCCTGTTGTGAAACAGGTTTGCTTTTCATTTGCTTGGAAAAAAAGACCCATTAAATATTGCTTTGAGAATGACACATAACACAGAAACACAGATAATGATGTATGTTTAGATATTACTAATGTTTAAATTTGCTTGATGTTACGCAACCGCTGACACAACTGACACTCTAATAAAGCACTTCTCCTTTTTCTTCTCCTTGGAAACTCTTCACTCACTCTCCAGTTTTCCATTATTCTACCTAACAGTTTTAATGCATGCTTATCTATAATGCCTGTTGTCCTGGGAAGCTGAGCAAAGGACTTCCACATGAAAATCCCAGTGCCTCTAGGTCTTGAAAATTACCCCCACTTAACGCAATACTCTTGACACATGAGGCTGCTTTTCTGAGCTGGGAACTGATAAAGCTTTCAGAGTTACTTTTGTTTCTAGATTTATCAATGACATGAAGAACCATCTTCCCTTGTCCCCAACTGCTGCCATTTCTCACACCATTCCCTGCTTAGTTAGAGCAATGTAAGGGTCTGAGTTCTGAGCTAGCAAAGTCCTGTGGTGGTTATGAAGCAGTGCTCTTCCACTGGGATTGCTTATACTCTTCCAAGCATGGACTGCTCAGGGACCAGTCACAGCCCTTTGGCTGTGGTGGTGTCACCTGGCACAACTAGATTCTTTGTGTCTGTTTGTTTCTTTTGGCCTTTTTTTTTTTAAAATTATTTTTAATTTTATTTTTTAAATGTGTTGGTGTGACTTACTGGAAGGAAACACGCCCAACCAACGTGTACATATTAAGACTTCTGTGAGAATACAGTTTCTCCTAGATACCTCTTAACCCAAGATCCCTTTGCTAGCAGCTCCAGACAGCCTATGAAGAATACCAATCCTCTCTTGGAAATAAATTGAAAACCCAAAGCCACTCCAACCCAAAGCAGCGGGAGTTGCTGCTCCCTAAATCAGCTGTTTTATTAGGATCCAAGTGTGCAAAGAGCTGCTGCTGTGTATACAGTGGCTTATCAGTTCTGTGTAATCCAGGTAACTACTTCAAAGTGCTGTATAACAACTTGATGTAGGAAGACTATCTGTGTAATAACTGCTTAGAGGCTTAATCATATAATGGAATTGAACAGATAAACTCACTCAGTTTGTGCTCTGCCCTCCAGTGTAAGTTTTCAAGAATACTTTGGGGAAGGTTTCTTTTAGTGAAGAACTAACATAATGTAAATAACGTGATAGGTGTACTTACCCTTCACCTTTGGTGCTGTAGGCGAGGGGACAATCTCTTCCCGAAGAATCCTGATAACACGATGCGCTACGATTACACCGATTACAAGGATACCTGGAAGGCCATGGAGAAACTGGTGGAAAAAGGTCTTGTGAAAGCCATTGGGCTGTCAAACTTCAACAGTCGTCAGATCGATGATGTGCTGAGTGTGGCTACAGTCAAACCAGCTGTGCTCCAGGTGAGATGAATGAAGAAGACAAAACACCTTTCCTATTTGTCCAAAAGAGTAAAGAATTTGCAAACTGATGCTATGTGTTTAGCACAAGAGGAACAATTTAGTCTGTAAGAAGGAAAGATAGTGAGGAGTAACGGGAATCCCTATCATAGAGAGTTTCCTTTGTTGCTGTATGACCTGTTTTGGTACCTGGGGAAAATCCAGCATTAAGCTTAGATGATTTCTTTTCTGTTTCTTGTAAACTTAGCCCACCAGACACTTCTTCACTCTCCTGGTTATACCTTAACTTAAATCTTATCCTCATAAGGTTTTCCGGAATCTGGAACGAGCTCCTGTGATGTGTTTGGTTCTGCTGTGCTCTGCTTCCCATTTGTTTAGTTTTGTGTTGATATCTGTTCTGTGGGTCATTTTAATAGGTGGAATGCCATCCTTACCTGGCTCAGAACGAGCTGATTGCTCACTGCCAGAAACGGGGACTGGTTGTCACTGCCTACAGTCCCCTGGGTTCTCCAGACCGTATGTGGAAACACCCAGATGAGCCCGTGCTTCTAGAAGAACCTGGCATCAAAAAAATTGCAGAAAAATACAGCAAGTCACCTGCACAGATCATCCTCAGGTACAGAACAATTGTGAGAGAGGTAGTGTTTGGGACCCAGCCTTAAATAAAGCAAAACACTCAAGCCAGAAGGAATCTGCTTAAATATGTGTTCTGTCCCACTGGTGTGGGTTAAAATCACAGGGAGTGCCAAAAGCAAACTCCGTTTGGTGCTTGTCTTAGAGAGCTGGTAGAGTTTGTCCTGCCTTAGGACAGGTGGATGGACTAGATCAGAGGGGTCCTTTTAGGGCCTGGATCCATGTCTGGGACAGTTCACTACCTTTTCTTCTGGGAAATAGCAGTAGGGCAATAAAGGCAGTGGTGTACCCCACGTGAGTGCTGCCCACTGAATCTGTGTGTGGCCAGTTTCTTGAACACTCTAGTACTTGCTGCTGCATTCAGGTGGGTTCCCAAGAAGAGGGAGTGAGGAAAAGACCTTCCTCCTCTGCACTGAAGAACTGCTTGTAGCTTTGTTTTTATATAGCAAAAACTGGATACTGGGAAACAAGGTGATTGAGTGATATCCAGAATGTGATCAGCACCTCGTAAAGTAAAATTGGATTTCTGTCCTCATTTTTTGACTGGCTTTATATCTGTTGATATCACTACCAGGGTCTTGGGCAGTAGCAAGTTATCCTGCCAGTTGAACATGTTCAAGATTTTGTGCTCAAGCCACCAGACAGGCACTTCAGGGATCTGGGTTTTCATCTGGTTTCTCAGAAGCTGTCGTGTTAGAACTTGCAAAAAATGCCTAAGTACATTTTTCTGACTCTTTCTCGGGTTTTTAGCTTAAAACACTTGAAACTTGCTTGCTTGTTCCAGGGCATGAACATCTTCCCCTCACTAATTAGTCCAGTGACTCCTGTCTTGCTTGAGCTTGGACACACCAGGTCCTAATACCATGCAGTGCTGCGTTGCTCCTCCCCTGGGGATTTTTTTTTCACATACAAACAGAAGTGGCATCTCTGCTGTCACAGATTATTACTCAACCAAAATAAATACTTATGGTTCTTGGGCTGCACACGCAGACAAAATCTCTCACCTCCCCTCCTCTTAACAGATGGCAAGTGCAGCGTAAAGTGGTTGCCATTCCCAAGAGTGTCACTCCTGCTCGCATTCAGCAGAATCTCCAGGTAAGCTGAAATGGAGGAAAGGAGTTTCATCAATTCCCTTTCATGTGAGTAATACACTGTCCTAAGACTTGCAGAGCAACAAGCTGAGACACTTGGTTCATACTTGTTCATCAACACACTTAAAAGGGAGGGTAAAGATTTTTTTTTTTTTTTGAAAACAAATTATGGGTTTTAAGCAACTCAGTGTGTGAGTGTGTGCAGATGTGCACATGCACAGTCTTGTTATCAGAAGGTATTTTTTAGAAGTCTACATGAAAAGTCTTTACTTAAATTTTTTTGAGACACAAATTTATTGAACAAGGGAGTCTTCTAATGATGTTCAGTGGTTCTTATTTATGAGTAGTAGTTTCTCTGTCCTGCAAGTGAGGGCTGGTGACTATTTCTGCAGCAAACTGCCATTCTAGTGATGCTGAAGGAATAAGTGTGGTTCAGTTCTGCTCTGAAGTAGAGACAGTTCACTTTAAAAATTATTTGAGAACTCTGACTTTAAATAATCTTGGGGGATGTCTCCAAATCACTGCTTGGGATCTTTTTTCAGCCCTTAATCACTAAGATTGGCTGGTTACATACTTGTTTCTAAGTTAGGAGCTGTTTCTGTAGCTGTTACTGCCATTAAACCAAATTCTGCCACGTAGTGTGCTGCTAGAAATCTCAAGAAATTCCTGTAAATTCTGTTACTTGAGCTTTAGATCTACGTGGGAACAGAATATTGATTGAATAGGCAGCACTTACTTGGAGGAACAGTCCTACTGCTTTTATCTTTGTGGAAGAGCACTATGCAGTAACAGTGTAGGCTTAGAGTTGGCAGGTGTGTGAACACCTCAGACTTTAAGCCTTTATTTGGTGTTTGTTATACAATGAGTTTAATTGCAATTTCATATTTATAAGCAGAAGACAAACCGATGGCAACTTATGGTTATTTATCAAAGCCTCTTGCTTTTGTTCTCAGGTGTTTGATTTCAGCCTCACAGACCAGGAGATGAGCCACATTGCAAGCCTGAATAAAAACTGGCGTTACATTGTGCCAATGATCACGGTAAATTTTTCATGTTTCTTGTAGTTTTTGGTGTGTGCACATGACCACAACTTGAGGTTTTACAGTTTTCTTTCTTCAGCCTCCCCATCAGAACTACTTACTCGTAAGAACACTGCGTCTTCTTAGGTTATCTAAGAGGAAAGAATTTTTCAAAGTCTGGGTACAGAAGAGGTAACTCTTTGAAAACTTTTGTCTGTTTTGGACACTGGTGGCCCTCTCCTGAGTTCCCATTACTGACCCATCTTTAAGTCAGAGTCCCATCTCACTTCAAATCTCACCAAACTCCTGCTGATTTGTTGTTCACAAGTCCAAGCAGGCTGAGGTCCATGGCATTCCTCCAGAAGTTCTCCTTGTTCCAGCTGTCACTGTCTACTTTATACCATAAACATCCAAGATCAGTGAAGACTCAGGGTACTGTTAATTCTCCACATCCATTGTGGAAGTCACTTCTGGGAATTTGTCCCCTCCCCTCCACTGCAAGTTCCCCCTTTCAGAATCTGTTGTAATGACTTTGCTCCAATATAAGGAGTTTGGCTTAGGATGTTGTATTTCTCTTCCCAAATCTATTAGCTGCAGCATCTTTCAGCATCAGTAGTTTACTGTCACACAAAACCTTACCTCATGTACTGGCAGATGCTTCTCTGTTTTGAGAGAAACCAATGCCTTGTAAGTGTTGAAGTCCTCTTAGTCTTTCTTTTATTATATTAAAGGACCTTGTTCTTTTTCCATCATGGCAAAAAAAATACTCAGTGCCTTTTTGTCTCCTGTCTTTAGTGTTTCTCCTTTCTTATCCTCCTGTTTCTGACTGTACAGCAGAGGTGCATCACTGGCCAACATATGGCAACTATAATGAATTGTTATAATTGTGCTATAATGAATCTGAAGTGATTTATCCCTTTGCTATCATACACTGCATAGATATAGGAAATCTCTCAGCAGATTTGGAAGCTGTCAAGCATACCCCTGCCTCTTCAGCAGTTTGTCTGCCTGGAGATTATTCTTCAGTAGTCATTGGCTGCTGGCTATAGGAGTTCCTTGGGGAAAGCTTTTTTCCAGGACTGTGGTTTTTTTGAATACTGGAGAGCATATCAGTGACAAAGTCTGAATTAGAAAAGAGAAGTTGTGAATGTGTGGTGAACGTCTGTCTCATGTCGAGGTTAGATACTTGTTACAACTTCCAACTGTTCATCACGCTGGGGCTTACGAGAACCTCAAGGCCACACTTTCAACTGTATGTGTGCATAAATATAAACCCCCACATCCTTGCAGCCAAAATTATCTCTGTGTTTATGGATCAGGAGTCTGTACACCAAAGGGCAAGCTTAGCTGCTGCTCTGTGTGAGTGTGGCAGTGACAAGCACACCTGCTGCTGACTGCGTGTTTCTTTGGAAGTGTTTTCATACTTCGGCTGCAAACAAAGTTGTTTTGTTAACGAAACTGCAAAATACACTAGAATGTAGCCTGATTTGGATGAGCTGATGTTTCCTGGGAGACCTGATCGGATCACAGGGATTCACAAAGGAGAGATGAAATGCAGTTCAAAGTGGTAGCCCATCCAGCTTGAGAGAGGGTGGATGTGATGCAGCTGGGCTTCAAAGGTATTGCCATATTGTCAGATAACAAGACAGGAAGAAGCAAGATGAGGAGAATTAAATCACGGCTCTGTAGCTGTAGGATCTCTAGTGGAACCTTTTGTCTCCTGCCCATCGCTTCTGGGCTTATTGGAAAGATTTTTCATCATCTGTGAATTAAAATTCCTATCTAACCTTTCATGCCTATCTCTCTTATGAATCTGACTTAACAGATTCAGTTCTGGATTTCAAAGTGTGATATGGCAGTGACACCAGAGCTCCTGTTCTATCTGACAAGACAGTTCTTCCTTGCTTTACTTCACTGATCTATAACCACAAGTTCTCATAGTTGTGCCTCTCTTTTCCTCGTTGTGTTAAAGCCTGAGGAGAGGCCATTACATTGCATGTAGGCAATTTAAGTTGCTTTATAATTTTAACTGTTCATTACCTAGTTAGAGGTTGGAAATGACCTTTCACCTGCCTGAAATCCAAACTTTTGGAAACACATAATTGGCCAAGGAATATACTGAAGTGAAACTTAAATGACTGTCAAGCCAGGAGAGGAGTGATGGTCGTGTACACATCATGACCTATTTTTAACAGTAAACTACCCTTCACCTGCAGTGTGTTCACTGCTGATTTTATCCTCCCTCCTTCTCTCAAATTCCTGGGGTAGACTGGAATCAGTGATGTGAAACATTGCTTCTGGCAGCTGCTGTCTTGGCATGCTGTGGAGAAATATGCAGGGGGAAGAAACTGGGAAGGGAAAGGAGGAATCTGAATTCTAGGAATATGAGAAAGCTGTTGGCTCTCAAGAGGACATGAGGAAACCTGAAGCTACTGTGACACTTCTGTCCGCAGTTTTAAAGACAGCCTTCTGTTGACAGCTTCATTGCAGCTTAATTTTGTTTTAATCAGAGCGTTAGTCAAACGTTAAACCGTGACACCCTCGTTCTGTGCTCTGCAGTGCCCCCAGGCGACTCATTTCATCTAAACAGTTCAATAGCAGGAATTCCAGCTGTTGCTTTGAAATGCAGGTTTTATACTGAAAGCCGATGGAGGCGTTTCCTAGTGGATGCTTGATTTGAAAGTCCCTGTGATTCCCTCTGGCCCTGGAACATTTTGAGTGATCCCTAACATCACCTTAATATGTATAAAACCAACATTTGTACGTATAAAAATCAGTGATTTCTCTGACATGACTTTTATTCAGTCATTAGTTGCTTAATGTAAGTTGTAGTTGAACGATGCTCACCTGTCACCCAGGGAGGTGTGTGCACTTCTGCCAATGCACCCAGACTTCCCCAAACGTTACAGACAAGGTTTTACCTCAGCTCCTCACACATTGGGGGTGCTGCAATGGATTTAGTGCAACTAGAAATGCAGCTTGTGCATCTGAATGCCCAGAGGTGGGACGTAGGAACTGAGACTTCTGCATGGCCATATCTGCTTTTGGGTCAGCCTGAGCCTCTGCTTGATTGTGATCTGCAAATATCAGTCTCAGTATTTCCATGTGACAGCCGGACAAGCTGGTCTTCTGTGGAAATGTTCTTAAACAAAAAGGGCTATGAAGGAGTGCAGTGACACTATTAATGCCTCAGTATGTGGCCCTGAACAAGTCATCCAGTGTGTTTTATCTTATCCATCTCTAAAAATTGGCAGCCCAGCAACTCTGTCATGGAAACAGAGGTTCCAACTCCAGTAAAGTGTTTTGGAAGCGTGCGTGTTACAACACTTACTCAGGAACAGCTACAAGGCAAAAGGCTTTTTTTAACTATTCTTAATCTACTTCTTCAGGTCTCTGCAGCTTGAAAGGCTCTTGCTCTAGGCTACAGAAATCTATCTTTTCTTTTAAGAAATGCTTGGAGGACTTGGGAGCAGAGGGAACAGCTCTCGTTTAAGCTGAAAAATGTACTCCCAGATGTTTGAGATAAAAAGGTTTAGAAATCTAAACCATGGAGAAATTGAAACTGAGAGTAAGAATGGATTTTTGTCTTGCTGACTTGCATTTGTCTTGTTTACTTCACAGGTGGATGGAAAGCTTGTAGCCAGAGATGCTGGACACCCCCATTACCCCTTCAATGACCCCTATTAACTACAAGAAAATAAGGTGTTAAAGTAACATGCTCCTCTTAGTGGCCTTCCACAGAATAATTGTTGCCACAATTTGTCAAAAACACTGCCCAAATTTAAACCTTCCTTCCTCAGCAGGTTTACCTACAATGTACTGTTTCTAATCGACCTCCTTTCTGGAGATACTGTAGCTTCCATGTCAGAGTTTGTGGATTTATTACAATGACTACAAGCTTGCTGCTGGAAGCATCAAATCTTTTGGAGATTAGGTAGAGTGGTGGAGTCTAAATCAAGTTCCAAACATGTCATTATCAAGCTAGGGCAATACTTTGGGTTTACTGCCTGTGAAACGGTTTTGAAAACTTTAGTTGTTACCATGAGGGGAAAAAATGAAAAAAAAGGGAAGACATGAAAGTATTTTAAGACTAAAAAACTGCTCAGCCAGCAACTTTGGTATCTTTATTAATATTTTTTACACAGGGAACAAAGTGAAATGTGCTACAGTTGCACTGTGTCCATACCCTTTCATTAAAACCCAAGTAACCAGCCATGCCCAGCACTTTTATCCCCTTCACTGTACTTGTGGGACTCAGAATTTTCTGTTTTCTCTTTCTTTTAATTTGCCTGTAGATTTGAAGAGAATAAAAGCAGACCCTGGAGCAGGCAATGCTCTCTTGCTTGTCACAGTGCTGGGTTTCAGCTCTGACAATAGCTCTGATCTTCCTATCACAAAAGCCACAAGAACTTTTCAGGAAGTCTTGTAGAAAAACATCCTGCCTTTCCCGTGAAGTTGTCCAGTGTTTCTTTACCAGAGATGTCCAGTTTGAGTTCTGGAAGGTCACAAAATCAGTTCCTGACTATACAGTAAGAGCAAAGACCTGTCAGAGAGCTCCTTCCATTTTGATGTAGCATTTTTGGGTGCTGGCTGGGTTGATGCTTGGGAGAGCTGCTCCTGTTTCCTGCTCTATCCCTGACCTGATGGTAACAGGGCAAGTCACTTGCCTTTCTGTGCCTCTGTTTTCTCACTTCCATGTCTCTGTGTTCCCCCCTGGCAGGGACTAATTTACTGAGTGATGATGCACTGCTGACCAGGGCTGGAACTCCAGCTCTAACCACAGTTTTATTTTGTTTCAGCCTCTTAATGAATCACCACCTGAAATAAAGGGCATGAGGTGTCAGTACCTACCCCTGCTCTGATGGTGGTACCTTCTGTGGCCTTGGCAACATTAACACTTTATTTTAGTAAAATAGGATTAGTTTTTCCCATAGCAGTAGCAAACAGAAGAATAATCTTCTGTATTTGAATAGTTCAAAATGTAAAGAATTAGGTACTTTAATTTTGATAACCTCATTTACAGTAGGCCTATTGTAAAGCTACATATTCATCCTGGGTGTAATGCCTCCTCAAGTATTTCCTGCCCTGGGCCTCCCAGCGTGCAGCTGAACTGGAACAAACCTGTTTGTCACTCTTTGTATGTAAAATTTAAGGAACTTCAGTTTCTTGGTAAAATGTTTTCTAATTCCTGTTGAATTTACCTCAGCGGAAAAAGCCATTGCAGCTCTGTTAGGATTCTTTACGAGACTGGACATTTTCTCCTAAGGAAAATGAAATTCCTGTTGGGTTTTTTTTTGATTGTTCTAATCAAACACGGGTGAGTTTGAATATGGTTCTTGCTGCAGTCATTAGGGAAGCAATCCTGCTTCGAAGGCACTCTGTGCACTGCTCACAGCAGCCATCCTGCCAAGGACAGTGGCTTTCCTTGCTTGTGTTCCCCTTGCTTGTTTGCTTGTCTTAAATAAATTCTGCGCTCATTGTATGACTTTGAGACTTTTTTCCCCCCTCTCTTATGTCAGGGCCCCAATTAACTTTGTCCGGTTATTTCTCCAATCAGGGGTAAGTGGGCTGGGAAAAATTCCCAAGAAAAGCAGATTGATTC